TTTCAACGTAAATGGTTCAGTAGCTTTTCTGTGAATCCGAGCAAATGCTTTCAATCAGCAACTGAAAATGTGTAGCTTACATTTGTAAAATGTTTTTTGTGTGTTTTCCACTAATTGCTCCACAAAAGCGTTCTTTCCTCACAAACGCTGCCGTGTATTGATCCTTTAAATTTTTAATTTGTAATTAGCAAGAAATGGTAGATTTGCTATTCAATTTTTAACTGCGGTGACTTTTATTTGCATTGTTCCTATTAAATGAAAAAAAAAGATCTTTTACCCAATTAATAAATAAATTCTACTAACCTTAACTAATAAAGAAAAGGTTAGAAGCGTTCAAAATGTGGTGTAACATGCGAATGATGAGGATACCGTGGATAGAGAAGGTTAGAAATGAATAGGTATTAGAAAGAATAGGAGAACAGAGGACTCTATGGAAATCAATAAGAAATAGGCAAGAAAGGTTGAAAGGACACCTTCTCAGGTCTGACGGTCTAGTCAGAGACATATTAGAGGCAGAAACAAAAGTTAAAAGGAATAGAGGTAGACCTAGATTAGATTACTATTCGCAAATAGTTAAGGATGTGGGATGTTCTAGTTTTAGGGAAATGCGAAGATTAGCTCAGGCTAGAAAAGAATGGAGGTGCGTGTCCAACCAGTCTTAGGACTGACTACCTTATGATGAAGATTAACTTTAACTAGTAGTGTCTGTGATTAAAGTTCGACCAATTATATGCCACTTTATTTTATATTTCGTTTACTTTCTGTAGCGATGTGACCTTCAGTTTGACTGGCGCAAAGTAGAAAAGAACAGCACTAGGCCAGAGAAGGAAGGAGACCACTGACGGCCAAACTCAACCGGTGAGGAGCGTATAATCCGTACAGTACTGCACGGAAAAATTGACTATTTGATCCACTACAATTGCATTGCTCAAATGTGCTGTTATTGATACCATTTACTACTGAAAATATCAACGAGATGTTTATTTATATTTGAAGACATATTAAAGGCATTAAGGCTTGTTTTCGACTAGCACTACTATTCATGATTGAACAAAACTGTTGGTATGTACTGTATGAAAAAGTATGTTTAATGAACAAGAGTTGAGAGTATAATGAGCTTTCTTCTCCATACCTACGATTTTGCCAGCGCGCATTCAAGACATTGGAAGGGGCACATCGCTAGAGAAAGTAAATGAAGTATACATCATATTAAGTAAAAAAGTATGGCTAATTCCACGATAAGCTTCTTCGATGTTTGTGAGTCGATATTGGCCATATTAAAAGGGTGTCAATTTTTAAAAAAGTTTATCGTATATAGGGACGAGTTTCTTTGATATTATTCCACAAATTATCTAAAGATAATAAATAATTTTTGGTACATACATATGTTTAAATATACCCAAGGGTATTATACTGCATTTGATTCTGTTACCTATAACTATAGCTTTCATAATGGATCCTGTTGGCCTGTTATTACTGAACGCGCGTCAACGTAGGTTGAAACTGTGATGGTACATATCTGTAATAACCGTCGCCATTGTAATACCGCTAATTATTCAATCAGGTCTGTATACCACGTTGACGTTACTAAATCCCACTGATACCACAAAACCGACCCTGTGTTGTACACAATAATAAACGTTGCACGCGAAAGCGGTTTGACATTATTTTTGGTCGACCATGTGTCGTGTACAGAACCATTAAATTCCACAATTTAATGATATTTATTTTCGAACAAGCTCACAGAAATTCACACCCCAGTGTCTCAATTCCACCGTGAAATGTGCAGGAAAGATAAATCATTCCAAAAATCTTTTTAAGTATTGGATACAATTGTTTAAAGTAGAAGTAGATGCTTGAAGGTAGAGAGAAAGAAGAACTTATATTATTCTTAAAAATATTTTGACAAGATACAGTGTAAACTCTTTATAACGTCACTCGATTTAACGACAAACTCCTTAAAACGTCGAAATTGCTTGACTTTGGTTGGTTTACATTGTTTTCTATACAATATTACACTCTATATAGCGTCACGCTCACTCTATTTAACGACAACAATGCGGCATTATAAATCATTGAGCAGTACTTTCTAAGTTGCCGAAATAGATAAGAACTGCAGCTGTGTACGTTGTTGAAGAAGACGATCCTGTCCCTCCACCAAGCATCAAACAAGCACTTGATGCAGCGAAACTATTAAAAAAATACTTTTTATATAATCAAATTGATCCAGCAGTATCTCAAGATATGAGTAAGATACGTAACAAAATACAATTAAAATATTGGAGCAGCAAAAAACATCAGACGAAGATAACAGGCTATACGCAATGTATGAATAATAATGTTCGTGTGCAAAATGTGTATTATATTGGTAAATGCATATTATTATAGAATAGTAAAATAATATCTTTTATTTCTCTCCATTTAACGACCACTCTTTATAACGCCGAAAAATGTTCAGTCCCTTAAGTGTCTTAAGAGTTTACACTGTATCTCAAAAAAATTAATTGAAAGTGAGGTAAACGCTAATTGTTTATACTAATTAATCATCCGTCGCAAAAAGGATATGGATCCTTGAATAAATTACTTAAAGAATATAGATGTTCTTGTAATACAGTTTTTAACGACCGAGCATGTCGCCCTTTGTACCTTCCCCTTGCAAGTCCTACATGTACTAGAACTATCCTACAAACTGGCGGTATTTTGAAATTTCTGTACTAATTGTTGTTATAACAAATTACGGCTAATTACTTAGCGAATATTTGCACTTGATCGAGCATCGAGCGTCCCCTTTAAACCAATGATGGGTAAATTTCTGTCGACTTGTCAATTATTCCTTCAATAAATCTACTGCTGCGTTGCGTTGCTATTGGCAGGGGTTTCCATAAATCACGGCCTTCTATATAAAGCAAAGGGGCCAGTTTACTGCCCTGGTTGATAGAATTGGGTCGGGACGAAGAAGACTAATAATATCTTTAAAAATTCCATTAGTTTTCCCGACTGTTTCACATTTCGTTCTATAGACAAGTTGTCGTTTTGTTTTTCTGATAAATTAGCGTACACAAAAAGGGAATTCTTTTAGTTTTCAATTTCTGTGGGTGCTGTGTAGAGAATTATGAAAGGGTATTGTGGTCTACGAACGGATTAAAAACAGAAAATTATTTTTTTGAAACAGAAATGATTGTTTTGTAATTTAAAGTCGTCAGGAATGTTGTTAAACTTTCTTTATAATTTAACTGCTCGGTCTTGTACAAAAGCGGCATACCAAGGGAAGAAACAGACATGCTAGGCCATCATTCTAGCAAAACAAAAGACTCTAAAATTAAAGAAATCTATATAACATTCGACGAATTGTTTTATATAGTTTAGTAAATGATCTAGTAGTGTGGAAAATTAAATATGAATGCAAAAAAATAAATTTGATCGTTTATTTTTTCGAAGAGAAAACTAAAATCAAGAAGTGGGTAGACGAACGCCAAAATTAAATTTGGATCTGAAGACAATTAATCAGAACAAATGTTGCAAAAGACAATTCAACATTAGTATGAATTTTGTACTGTAATACAATACAATGCATTACTTTATTTTCTTTTTCTTTTTATCAAAACTTCAATCTTGAAGCATAACACCTTCATCCTTCATATATCCATGTCTTCAGTTATAAAATTTATTTATTAGGCCCATCTTAATGCTAGAAACGGCATATAAATGTTTAATTTTTATTTAGAACCTAAGTGAAGATTTCAATCTGTTTTTATTCTTTATTTTATTTATGAATTAATCAAATTGATATTGATATTCGTTCTAGGTAAAATAGAAGGTGATTTATCCATGGCACGTGTTTGCCAGGCGTCCCATAATTACTAGTTCCTTGTATCTCCTAATAGAAAGGTAGGCGTATTATACTTTTTCTTCCCTAATTATGTAGGAATTGAGTAAAGTAGGTACATAATCATATAATTGGTACCAATTAAACTAGTTAATTCAAACCATAGTCTATTCAAATGGTCGGTGACAAAATTGAATCAACTTTTTGGTGTTGCGGTTGTAAGCATATTCCCCTATGCAGGACACTCAATTGTCAGCTACCCCAAATGTTAGGTAGCGGCGTTTAGAAAAAGGGCCAGCAATGTTTTAAAAACCACCTGCAAGAAATATTGAAAGTGTGGTCGATCTTCTCAATATTACATTGCAGAAAACAGCAAAAAATAAATTAAATTAGATATGATCATAAGATTACGGTAGGAAGAGGCAGCACGAACGCAGTACTTATATTATTTATCCGACATCGTGATTTAAGATTCTAAGGGTGTTATTAGAACCCCCGCGAACTCGCGGCCAGGTAATTATATTGTCTTCAAATGTACACCACCCACTTGACGGTCAGTGGCAGTAGTGACCTAACCGCTCGTTTTGGTAACTAGTGCTCGGGGAGACTTAACAGCATAAGGGAACGTACTCATACTACGTGACTCATTTTTTAACCCCCTTCACCCCTCGGTAATAACCCGTAGTGCATGCACAGCCCCCCTCCCCTCTAGTTTTCACGTAGTAATTCATAAGTATAGTTTTAAATCATTTTTAACAAATAGGAAATTTTGAATTTTGAAAAAATCGCGACATTTCCCTAAAGGGTATTGTCTAAGTTACGAAAACCTAAGCTCCTTCCCCTGTGACTAAACGGAGTATTTTTTAAAATCCCCTCCCCCCCCTGATAGATCACGCAGTATGAGTACATTCCCTAATATACATAGAAGGGATGTTTTCAAAACCAAAATTAAAAAGTTTGACGGAAAAGCAGAAATTTTTCATAACTCGAGTTTCCACTGTTTCGAACTTAGCTGATTGCGTTTAGAGGGTTGGAATTAGGGAAGTTAGATTGTGTTCGTGATATATTAAACATATGTTATTCATACGATATGTTATTTAGATTTATTCTTTTTTGGAGCTAATTTCCTACGCTCCATGTGTTTCGTCCCCATCTTTACCTAAGTGACACGTACCTGAACTCCACAAATCCTTGAAATAGAAGTAGAGCCATAAAATCTCCCTGCATGTCGTCTCTTTCTCCTGTTAAAAAGAAAATTCCGTCGTAGGCTTCGGGTCGTAATTCTAACGTGATCTGAACGTGCTTGTAAGCACCGCGCAATGTTGGTAACGCCAGCCAACTTGATCCACTAAAACGGGGCGACCGGATTTCTACATCTGCAAAAAAAAAATGATTAAATTATTATTGTTATTAATCTTACATAAAATAAGAGTCCTAAAGAAATTAAGTAAAAATGAATTAAGCTTCCAGCAAGCCGCAAGTTACTAAAGTTAGTCCTTTTTTTAAGAAATTTAAAGTTGATGTCCTGATTCGGGTCTAAAAACCTTCTTAACGTTTTAATAGTACGAGTGGTGAGCTTCTTCAAAGGTCCTTCTGTTTCCGTTGCTGAATGAGGACTACCAGTGATGCAACGGAAGTGTCATAACGGAAACAGAAACGAAAGCAGAAGTAAATAGTAAAACTTTTGCAGAAGCGCAAACGGAAGGGGATGCGGAAACGGAAGTGTAATGATTTTTTTTTTGGCTTCAAAATTGCACTTTTAATTTGAAACTTACAACACTGAGCAAACACTACACAAAATAAATAAACGCTACAACTGCATTGGTTGGTTTAGGCCCTAAACTATAATAAAGCCCAACATGCAACGAGCAATTCCATTTAAATTTCGTTCAAGTTCAGCCAATAGATATAAGTAATAAAATTTTACGACTTATTTTATTGTTTCGATATATTGATTTTAAGAAAGATGAGAAATACAATTTTGTAAAGTTCCGGTAAACTTCTGCTTTAAAAAAGCGGAACTAGATGCAGAAGCGGATGTGAATTGCGGAACTTCTGTAATTGCGAAAGCAGAAGCAGACGTCTTAATCCGAATCAGAGCAACATCAGTTCACCAACTGATCGTGAAAGCCTTTACCAATTTGTCAATTTTTAAGATTTTACCACTTGCTTTTTAATTACATATATATTGCAGTGTGTATTTCTTCTTTCTGCAAGTGTTTTTTTTACTAGCTCTTGTATAAAACTTCCGTCAGACGCATGTTTAAATGCAATGTAATTTGGTATTTTAAATTGGAAAATATAACGTACGTACTACGTACTAACAATACTAATTGGATTGGGCGCGGAGAAGGCAGTCGAGAGGCGGGACGGAAATACTTAACGAACGGTGAATTAATTAAAATTCGAAGGGTTGATTAATTAAAAAGCATAATGATATTTTGAAAATTTTGACGTTGAATAGGTGACTTGAAAATACCTGTAGAAAACTGTGCTTTCCGGGAATGCAAAATTAACGCACGTTGCTGACGGCAACTTTTCATTTATGTGAATAATTTTAGTATTTTATTTCCTTGAAATTTTAATAATGAGTTTTTTTAGTAATAATTAACATAAGCATTTCTTACCCGCGACTTGGTCCAAGCGAATCACGTACCATTTAATTGTTTATAATAAATACTAGAGATAAGCCGGATACCTACTTTTTTTTTTAGTATCCAGGCGGTACAGGATAATAACGGCATGACGGTACTGCATAATGAAAATTGATAATTAAGATTGTATTGGGATAGGGCGTTTGTCCTTATTTGTATTATTTATTGATTATTATACTAAATTATTTGTTATTTCCAAATGGTTATTGTGTTTACCTTATCTTGTGAACAAGCATACATTAAAATAATTCGAAGTGGTCTGTATTCTGTCGAAACTGCCAGATCGAAATCACCACTTGGACCTTGTTGGAGCATACGTAATCCTAAAATGTGCTACAGATGGCGTTTACCGCGCCATTTGTAGTATTTTCTAAAGCATACATTAGTTTGGCCAAACTGCAGGCCCTTGGCGAAGTATTCTGTTTGGGGCTTCCGATTAACCAACTGCTTTCCCAACAGCTATCTTATATATATTTGGCAGCAAACTTCATGATACTTTGTCTTCTTCAAATAATATCCCTAAATGCGTAAGAAACGCTTAGAATTTAGGCATGTGATCAGATGGATACAGCAGAAGCAATTTTTCAGTATTTTTATTTGTAATATTCTTTTTGTCTAAAAAGTTTGTGACAATATTTGGTATTGAATTCCAACGTTCTACAATCATTTTGAGTTTATCTCGTAAAAAATCTGTAATTTTATCTTAAAAGCTTAGAGATTCTTTTCTATAAAAGATATTTATATCAAAGCTCGCTGTTACAGCCCGCATAGACGAATGGTCTTCCAGTTTCTCAAGCAGTTTTACCTACAGGCGTTTTTACACGAAATTTTGAAAGAAGTCTATTTTTAACATTTATTCTAATCAATAACACAAGTTGAAAATACCAACTGAGCAGATGTTCGGGAGGAGCATCCCCCGCATGCTCTCCATTGGCGAGGTTTCTTCCGAACTCTTACAATTTCTGTGTTTGTTGGATATATCAGGTTTTGATTAATAATAACTTATTAGTATGATTTTGTCACCCTGCAGACTTTTAGTGATTACAAACATTACAGGATCGCTTCAACGGTTTCAACTCAACCCTCTCGTTGAAAATCCGCCAACCAAAAATTAAAATTGCAGTGGTTTACAGTTTAAATTACTTTTGTGGTTTGGGACGTTTGTGAGGGTGGTATTTAATGGAAAAGCCGTTAGAATGAAGGCCTGAACCATTAACCCTAGTGGTTTTGCCGAGTACACGGTTATCCACTGCTCGGCAAAATCACAATTCGTTGCATATCTAATGAATACAATTGTTATAATTGATAAAAAATTCAAAAGAGTAGCCTAAATTACTCCAGACAGCCTTGTTATGTCTGTAAAGCCGTTCAAATCGGTTAAACGTTTTCAAATCATTCCAGAGAGGCATACTGTCTTTTGTCTTTTTAAGGTTATGTACGCCTTGAAAATTAGGATTCTCTCTAATTAGATGCATAAAGGAAAAAATATTCAATATTTAATGAATTTGGTTTTTGTGAAGCATTTGTTTTTTAAACAACAAAGTTGCTTTTAATGTTCAATAAATGTAGGATTTACCGATTTACTATACAATTGTTTCCGCTTGACAAGCCTTCGTCAGTACCTTAGAGATTCTTGACAAAGGCTTAACAATCTACTGTTTGTTTCAAGAAGTTAGAGATATGCCCCTTCCCTTTATTAGGATGCGCCGAGCATAATTCCAAATTCAATTATATTTGTCCGGGGAGCTCATTTCTCCACCGATCATCGAGCGAGAACTAGACAAAAGTGTACAGTACCATTTGCAAAATTATTTAAAATGCCTCGTTAAAATTTAAGAATATGCTTTATTTAAAAGCATATTTGGCCAAAAATAATAACAAGTGAATTAACTTAACGTTCTACACACCTATAAAACTTTTGCTTTGCTTTCTTTTATTAATTTATATACCTTTTTGTTTTAACAAATTGCTAAACATTTTCGTCTAGTACTGAACAGTTCTAGCCGATCTCCTAAGACCGCCCATCGAGAGCTCTGCTCGTTCAAGCTTGTTCCAACTATTTCTGTCTTGCTCACGCCTAGTGTGTATTCTTTCTATCTTCGCGCAGATTTCTTCAAGGTCACAATTCTAACAAATTGAAATGGACTGTACATTACAATTTAAGTATTTATAAAAGATACTGTGATAACTAAAAAACGTTCTCTTCTTGTTTTAATGATATTTTTATATTTTTTTATTTTCCAAAAGTGCATTTTAAGGACAAGTCACAATCTTAAAGAAAAAGGTGTTTTAAAAAAATAAAAATTTCACGGCACTAACTTTGACTTACGTCACTCTCAATGTGCCGTGATGCCTACATTATCTGTCTGTTCGAAATTCTCGTGTATTCATGAAAAGCTACTCTACGTGCTTTTCAATCATTTTCCCGATGGAATGTAATTGCAATTTTGGCAGAGGAAAGCTAATTAGGGCGGATATTGGCACAATCTCCGAACTGAGAAAACATACTCGCCTGTTTCTGGTCGTTTCAATTCTCTCATAGGCCTGTTTGGAATTTGAAATACGTACGAAGGAATTGACTGCGGCAATAACGCAACGCGCAGTTATGGAAATTTCAACCTCATATAACCACCCGTTCACCACGCTAATTACAATTCCTGTTTGTTATTGTTCCTCAAAATTAATTGCTTCGTTCATCAGGTGAGAAGTATCGAACATTGTTTCGATTATCTTTTATATTCTCACGGCGGTTGTTCCGTCGCTATTCGCCGAAACGTTTCTTTTTTTTTGTTAAGGTTATGTTTTTTATTTAATTACAGATTTAAGTAAGTAGATTATTCGATCATTTTTAATTTTATTCGAACTGTATATCATTTTCATCTTATTTTATATTATCGTGCATGGTACAATTTGAATCACCTCTTGCAATTTACAATACAATAGCAAAATATTCAAAGTTTACCTAACTGTGATCGTTATAATCACATTAGGGCCTTATTTTCCATTCATCACCTTTATTTTATTAAAGAATTGATTTCATTGTAATCTATTTACCTGAAATGTAGCTATTTGTTGTGGCCAAGTTTCCCTTAGTAGTTTCCAATTCATTTTCTATTTCTATCTATCTTAAATTGTTCTTATCTGTCTTTATTATTAAAATACATGTCCGAAATTTTTCTAAAAGAAGTACATTGTAATATATCAGTAAGTAGCGTTCTCTTGACAGTTGCACATATTTTAATTGTGAGTGTAAATCTCGATCCTCGAAGTAATCATTTTTTTATTTAGTCTTACGCATTTGATCTTGGCCTAGCCTATCTTGTATTAAAATAGAAACAAGTTTTGTTTGTTATATTATATCAGAAAAATATACCTCGTATTCTATTGCATTTAGTACCACAGCAGCAACAGCGTTGAGTATATTGTTAATAAACTTTTATATAATAACTTTTTAACGTACTTTTTAAAGTGTTATTAGGTATGCTGACAAAGGTAGTAACTGATGGAATCTTACTCCGTTATACGATAAATTACAAGGGAAGTTTTCTGTTGAATTCTGAATTTATTGTAGGTATAAATATCCACAAGGGTAGCTTGTAATGGCTGCGCGTAATAGCTATAAGCGAACGCTTAAAAAGTATAAAATTATTGCGAAAACTTCTGAAATAGTTTCAGTAGACCTTTAATTTTCAGCTCCAAGAGCCGGGACTTAACTTCACAAA